CAGAGTGAGTGCCAGGACAGGCTCCAAAGCTACACAGAGAAACCCCGCCTCAAAAAAACAAAACAAAAAAGAAGAACAAGAGTATAGAGCTGGAGACATGGCTCAGAGGTTAAGCGCACTGGCTGTTCTTCCAAATGACAGGGGTTCAATTCCCAGTATCCACATGGCAGTTCACAACTGTAACTCCAGTTCCTGATCAGACACCATAATACAGACATACATTCAGACAAAGCCCAATGTACATTAACTAAATAAATATTAAAAAAGAAAAAGAACGGCTGGAGAGATGGCTCAGAGGTTAAGAGGCCCTGAGTTCAATTCCCAGAAACCACATGGTGGCTCACAACCATCCGTAATGAGATCTGGTGCCCTCTTCTGGTGTGCAGATATATACATGGAAGCAGAATGTTGTATACATAATAAATACATGAAGTCTTAAAAAAAAAAAAAAAGAAAAAAGAAAAAGACTGTAACTCAGTGGTAGAGCCACTGCTTATCAGGAAAAAGATTCTGCATTTATTTTTATTTATTTATTTATTTTGGTTTTTTGAGACTGGGTTTCTCTGTGTAGCTTTGGAGCCTATCCTGGCACTCGCTCTGGAGACCAGGCTGGCCTCGAACTCACAGAGATCCGCCTGCCTCTACCTCCAGAGTGCTGGGATTAAAGGCGTGCGCCACCAATGCCCGGCAAGATTCTGCATTTAACTACAAGCATTGCCCAAAAAAAAAAAAAAAAAAAAGTACATGTAGCTGAAGGGTGGTATGAGAGAGGGGCCTGTATACCATGTAACTTGAGCTTCCCATCGCTTGTGGCTCTGGCTCCACTAGGCCCTTAGAAGTTGGCCATTCTGGATACTTGAAGCCTCTCAGATATAGTCCCCGGCTTTCCCTCCCTGCCCAGGATCTGGGCTTGTGAAAGATCTAAGCACTGGGTGGGGCAAGATGTCTAGAAAGGGAGTCAGATGTCCCATGGGTGAGCCAGCAGGAGATAGGCAGATGCCCCAGAGGCCACTCTGCAGTGTCTGTCTTGTCTTTGACCTCTGCCTTCTGCTCCCTACCCCCATGATTCACTGGTTTTTTTTTTGTTTTTGTTTTTTTTTTTTTTTTTTTTTTTTTTTTTTTTTTTGAGCTTGGTCATGGAGGAAATGGGGGTACCCAGGCCAGCAGAAAATACAATGAAAAGATGACTGGATTGCTTGCACCACACTCAGGGGCCAGAGTTGGCAGTGGGCCTGCACTGCACAGCAGCTTCCTGTCTCCCACACCCTACTAGAAAGTGACCGTTCCTCACTTGTTAAGGGGACAATAGCCTACATCAGGGACAATAGCCTACAACAGGATGGACAACGGGTAAGATGCCAGCACAATCGCCTTGCCTAATGAGATATGTTCCTGGAGGGACATGCTCCCCATGATCAGCCCAGTAAGGACTTTAGAGTGTGGTTTCCCTGGTGTTTTGTGGCCATCTGCCAGGATGGTTCTTGGGGGGAAGCCCCACCGCGAAGGTTCCTAGCACTGAGGCTTCAGCTTCTCTGTTCATATTATTAGCTGCCCTGGCTCCCTCTGGCTGCTGGAAGGGAAGAGGAGTCTGCATGAAGGGAGATGCGGGGTCTGACTCAGTGGCAGAGAGCACATCTGGCACCCACCCAGCCCTGGGTTTGTCCTAGTCCTGAAAAACAACGAGTCTAGGGCCATTCTCTCTGTTCCTTTCCCCTTGAGGTCGTGCAGGCCCCAAAACGCACCCCCTTGGGAATGTGGAGCATGGCCTGGGAAAGCATGTAGTGTGGTTAGAGCTGGGAGTTCTGAATCTGATTTTGAGACCCTGGGCAAGTTAATCAGCCTCTCTCTGCCCAGTTTATCCATCTGAGGAAGGGAGTAATAATCTAGTCTTTAATTACGGTAATATGAAATGAGCTAATTAATATAAATGGTGCACACTATAGTCCCAGGACTTAGGAGGCTGAGGCAGCAAATATCCTGTTTGTTTGTTTTTTGAGACAGGTTTTCTCTGTATAGCCCTGGCTGGAGCTCAGAGATCCACCTGTTTCTGCCTCCTGAGTGCAAGCACTGCCCAGCAAGGAAGTACTCTTGAGTAGGAGTTAGAGACAAGTCTGGGCAGCCTACTGTCTTAAAAAAAAAATAAAATAAATTTGCAGCCAGGTGTTGGTGATGAATGCCTTTAATTCCAGCACTTGTGAGGCAAAGGCAGGCAGATATCTATGAGTTCAAGCTCTAGGGCCAGCCAAGGCTATACAGAGAAACCCTGTCCTGAAAAACTATAAAATAAATTTTTAAAAATTGTAAAGAGCCTGGTCTACAAGAAGTAGTTCCAGGATAGCCTCTAAAGCCACAGAGAAACCCTGTCTCAAAAAACAAAACAAAACAAAAAAACAAAAACCAAAAACATTGTGAAGAAAACAAAGTGCATCCATGTGCTTATCAGGCATGGAAAGCTCTGTGTGGTATTTGACCACTGCCATCCCCCACCCTGCAGCTGTCTTCTTCAGGTCTGTGACCATGGGGAAGGATACAAGTGGGTTATGAGGGTGCCCAGCCAGGCAGAGTGGCCCGAACCAGAAACACTAGCTGCCGTCCACGGCCACAGCCTGGCAAATGGTGGCCAGAGATGCAGCTACAGAACAAATGTCCAATGACCACAGACCCACAGCAGAAGTTTCTCACAGACCAGCAGTCTCAAGCTAACATCTGGGAACCACCAGATTCACTGTATCCCTGATGAGAATGGCTGTATGGCCTTGAACACAGCCTAGAGGTGGGTCACCAATCTCTCACTAGAGAGAAAAGGGACAGCTGCCACAGCCTGTACTACCCTTCAAGAGCTCTAAAAGGCTGTGTCATCGAGCCTTACTTCCGGAGTCCAGGCACCCAGCACTGCTGAGCCTTAGAGTAGGCTATTCTTCCTTGTAAATAAGAGGAACCAGGTGACCTCAAGCTGTGAACCTTGCCTCCTCTACCCCAGCATCCTCTGCAGCTGGCTTAATCACTCCCTTTTCAGGTATACCCTCAACTCATCCTTCAGAGCCCCCACTCACTTCAGACCTACCCAAATCTCTTTAGAACTGAGTACATGCCACATCCTGGTGGCTCTCTGCATCGGCCATCACCAAAGCTGGTACCCAATACTACATTACACCAGTAGCCAGGAGATAGCACCTCAGGAACCTGCACCCAGTGGGTGACATGTCTGCTAACCCCAGCTGTGACAAGCCAACCCCACTGCCACTCCTTTTCTAGGCAAGAGGGCCAGCAGAGGCGAGGATACACACAATTCCTACCTACACACGATTCTCCCTACCTACAAAACTTTACAAGAGCTCAACCCACTCAGGAGTTGAAGCTTCTGGAATGTTGTCCCAGGAGGAGACCGACTCCCCTGAGGGAACAGTCAAAGCTGACTGCCAGGGTTTGTCCAGGACAGCGCTGCCCAACGCTCAGGGGAGCACTCTGGACTTGGCAGTGTCATGGCTGGGTGGAGATGGCATGTGAAAATCTACATCACCCTTGCAGTTTTCCCCCAACTCCCTTCCATAGTTAGGTCACCCTAGATCTGGCCTCAAGGCAGACTTCCAGGAAGGGCAAGCAAGCCTGGGCTGGCACCGGGCAGTAGCCTGGGAAAGTCGGGGAGGCCTGGGTTGGGTACTTAGACTGGTCTTCTTTGCTTATCTAAGGCTTATCAGATGAGGGCCAATCCCATCCTAGAACCGACGATACCTGGCCTTTCAGTCCGACCTCTCACCGCTCACAACAGTTCCACCCGGAGCCGCCCCTTGTGCATATTCGTTTGTTGAGGATATAAACGAATGAATGAGTGAATCCTTGTTGGCTCAGCCACTTGGTGGCTGAGGGCTGCACATTTCTTCCAGAATCCTACAGGGTTATCTGGCTAACCATTCAACAAACTTTAAACAAAAAAAACAAACAAACAAGCCACTCTCTATCAATATTTTCAAACCACTTGTGTACTGGAGATGCGGCAGGGGGCGGCCACTTTTCCAGTTGAGGCGCGAGTGTGAGCTGTGGGGCTCAGTGGCGTCCACAGGTGTAGGGAAGGTGCCCTGCGCTGGAGTCCAAGATTTGTGTCCGGGTTGGGGTTCCGAGCTTGTCGAGTGGCCCCTTGTGTGGGCTGCAGCCGTCCCTTGTTCATCTTTGCGGGT